TAACGTACGTAACTTTTCTTCTCTATGCCTAACTTATGTAACTTGTCTAAACCTAACATGCGTAATTTAACTTGCCTAAACCTAACCTATGTAACTTTACTTGCTGAAGCTAAGGTATGTAACTTTACTTGCCCAAACCTATTATACATACTTTACTTGCCCAAACCTAACCAACTTTACTTGTCTAAATCTAATCTATGTAACTTTATTTGTCTGAACTTAACATGCGTAATTTAACTTGCCTATACCTAACCTATGTAAATTTACTTGCCAAACCTACATAACTCTACTTGCCTAAACCTTTCCAATGTAATTTTACTTGCCTGAACTTAACCTATGTTACTTTACTTGCCTAAAGCTAACATACATAACTAAATTTGCCTAAGCCTAACCTGCATAACTTCACATTAACATTTGTTTGTTAAATTGTTGTCGCTTGTTCTTTGTTATAACCATAGTTGTCTATTGTCTTTTATTATGTACTAATTGTGATATTTGGCTTATTAAAGTGTCCTTAGGTGACTTGAAAGGCACTTGTGAATAAAATGCGATAGTATTATGTGAATCTAAAAGTCAGCACTGACCTTTTTTAGTTTTTACAAACCTACATCCTTTATTGCATAAAGTTACATCACATACTTTTGTCACTTTACGGCATACTAATTGACAGTATGAAACTAATTCAGTTTTAGCTGAAATCACAATATTTTTAGTTTTGGTGCCTAATTCCAACCATGCCACCACCAATTTAACACAATACGTGCCACCACCATGTAATGCGTTGTTCATGTCATCATTCAGGTCATGGTCATTTCATGTATTTCTGTGAGATCACGTTGCACAGTTGCACTTACCTTCTGCTTTAATGCTGTTCACCTCAAGTTTGAGTTTACCTAGTTCACCAACTTTTTCTTCAGTTGACCCCAGTCTGTATTTTAATCCTATAAACAGAAGCAGTATTTTAAAAAGGTGTATTTTTTTACATACAGTTTTACATTCCACAGTTCTGGTAATAAAAACAGCAACACAATACATCTTTATTATCAGGATGCAAGTTGCAAAGCATTTATTAAGGGATTAGACTCTATCAGGAAGTAAGGATGTAATTAGGGCTTATGGGGTATTTGATAACTTTTACATGTACCTGCCGTGTCGTTCCTGAGAGTGTCAATTTCAGCCTTCTGCCGGGCCACTGTAGTTTTTTGTGTTTTCAGCTGTAAATCAACATTCCTCAATATAATTTCAGTTTCTTCCTTAAATTCATCAACTTCAGCCTTTTGGTCGTTCAGTTTTGCGCTGAAAGCTTGAATCAAAATTAAAGTCATTATCAGGACATCGTCACATCCAATTCATGAAAACAGTTTCATTAAATGTTGTCAGATCAGTTGGTAGCATTTAACATATTTGTTAAATGTTGGGATAATACTGATTTTAAAATTACCTGTACTGTTGTTTTGAAATTTCTCCACTTTAGCTTGCAGTTCCATCTCTGTGGCCTCCAGACGGGCTTTGACTTTGACTTCAAGCTCCAGGGCCGTTGAGTTAAGGTGGGAAAGTTCATTCTTATACAGATTCAGAAGTCTCTGTGTGTCACTAAACCTAGCCTCAGTTTCTGTCTCCAGATTTTCAAGCTTGGCTTTCTTCTCCCTTAACTGCCTTTCAGTTGTATGGAGTCTCTCTTCAATGTCACTTAAGTTTCCCTTCATTCTTTCCCCACGGTTGACCAGTTGTTGAATTTCTCTCTTCAGACTGACTATGCCAACTTGGTGTTTCTCCAGCTGTGTCTTTGCCTCTCTGAATTCCCTCTCAGTTTGTGACTTAATCTTTTCAAGTTCATTTACTGCACTTGAAAGGTTTGTCACTAATCTTTTGAGCGCACTGATGTTACTGTTTGCAGCCTCGAGCTGAAGTCTTGTCCTACCTTCCATGGCATCCATTCTTTGTTGCAGCATCATTTGTTTCTCTTCGAGTTTTGTCTGGACATCATCAAGGTGTAAAATGTTTTTGTAATTTGAGCAAAGAGTTGGTGTCTCTTGTATTTCCTCTGGATCACATCTCCTCCTGTGTGGGAGTTTGGAAGATGCAACTCCAAATAATGCAAGAAGGAAAACTGCCTTGGTGATCATTTTCAGAGAAAAGATCGGTTCTTTACTTAACAGTTCCTATGAGCTTGAGACAACGAGTCTCATGAGGCAGCACCTTTTACCTTTCATGGGACAGCCCATTTGTGATAAGCAGGGTGCGGCAAGAGTTTTCTTACATTTCGGGAATGTCCCTTGCCACTGAAAACAAACAACCAGGAAATGTCAGAAATTAAATCTGTTTGATTTTCTGTCTTGTGTAGTCTACTCTTACTCTGACATGTGACATGAACAGAAATCGAAATTTGTACAGGGTCCATTAGGAAACACATGTGTACTTCAGTGACAGAAATACAACGCAACATATAAGAAAAACTATCTTAGGATAATTTTTTTTAAGGCATTTCCTAAATTAAAAAGCTGCCCTCACAATAGGGGTTCCTGCACAAAAAATAGGGTGTGAAGCCGTGGTTTTAAGGCTTATTATCTTCAGTGGATCTCTGATTTCTTTTATGATGATCATTTTTAGGACCCTGACTGACCAAGGCGATGGTGGGCCCTTATGTCGGGCCGTTGGTGAGCATCTGATGCCCAAGTTATTGCGATGATTCTCACACCGTTGGCACTAGTTGGCCCTTGCTTTACTGTGGCTGATTCAGCACGTTGAATTGGTGTCAGAGACAATAGAGCCCATCTTTGAATGAAATCACTCTGATTGGCAGTTTAGGTCAGTGAATGATAAGAAATGTTAGGAAAGCATACAAACTACTAAAGTCAAGAGGGAGTGAGATCAAAACAAACTTTTTATATGAGGTAACATCATCTTTTTAGTCATTAAGCTTTTTAGCAGAAAGATTTCGTAATTGTTATTTATCGTTACAGTGTGCGGTAAATATCTTTTGCTCTTTCAACATCTGATTGTGTCATTATTGTGCTAACTAGCATCTTGAATTCATCCTGTCAGTCTTCCAGTTTTAGGGTGACCATATTTTGATTTCTAAAAAAGAGGACACTCGGCCGGCCACGACATAGCCTACTTAAATGATACTTGCAGTTTACTCAAAGATGCCTTATAATTTTAATATATTTAAAATTTATATGTATGGATAGAAAATTCAGTTATATTACAAAATAATATCTCTCAAAGACAGAAATTCAGATAGGCCTCTATAGGGGACACACACTAGAGTGTGGCGATCCGAGCCCGGCAGTAGGCTACCCGACAGGTCGGGCCGGGTTTGGTCAGAAAAGTAGCTATAAATTGTATTCGGGCTCGGGTTGGATTCGGTCAGCTTTCAGTGAAAATATAGTGTAACAATAAATAAAATCCTACTGTCTGTCCTGTTTATTGCTTGGGCACTGTTATTTACGTGACAACACCTGAACATAACACACACAGACACACATTGGCTGTTTGTTTCTACCTCTCTCCTGTCTGGAAGTCTCGGACCTCCAGCCGTCCGCCTCCGCCTTGATTAAACACTGAAAATAAAATAAAAGAGGGAGACAGGTTTTTCCTATTTTATCTTATTTTGTTTTATTTCTCCCTCTCCTCTCGCTAGAAGCGTCGGACCTCCAACCTCCCACTCCCGTCTCAAACACGGAGGTCTCCCTCTCCGCAGCTGAGCACCCACAGCGCACGCCCAGCCTGTTAAATAGCCTGTAAAAACTGTGTGACACAAACTCAGTGCTTTGGTCATTAAATAATGTCGGGCTCGGTTCGGGTTCGGACAGAAATATGGTGCCCGTGCTGCACTCTAACACACACACACAAACACACGAAAAACCGGACATTATCATCAGTTTATAAAAAAACCCCGGACGCCCCGGACGGGACGTGAAAAGTGGACATGTCCGGGCAAAAGAGGACGTTTGGTCAGCCTATCCAGTTTCCCTTTTTGAATGAAGAATACAAAGTGCCACTGACTTGGCAGAAAAATACCAAACCATTAATTCATATATGTGTGGAACACTTCATTTGACACTTGTCATCCAGGTTGATAATCGTGATACGAACAGGTTAACAGTACAATCCAGTCCAGATAATGGAAATATTATACTGTGCCAATCACTGAGGTTTTTTATGAACAAGGAAAACATTGGATATCACATATGTCACATGTCATGTCAGCTGTAAAAATGATACAATAATGAAATGAAGAAAAACAATGGCTACATTTCATGTTGGAACAAAGATGCAGACTAGAAAAATGCTAATGACACTATACCATCCTGAGTTGGTATAGTAACACAGACCATTTCAACCAAGTGATGTCAAGTCAAACCTGCCTGTTCACTTGATGGGATTGATTAAAAGGACAGTTACCCCCAAAATAAAAAATACATATTTCTCTCTTACCTGTTGTGCTTTTATCAGTCCAGGTTGTTTTGTTGTGAGTTGCATAGTGCTGTAGATATCAGCCGTGGAGATGCCTCAACTACACCCGCCTACTGTGTCACTGCGCAGAAGTGTGCATCTACTCACGGACAGGAGACTCGTGCGCATGGCAGTGTAAGATGTAAACATTAATGGGGTCCTCCTTGGCTGAGCTGTAACATTATGCCAACGTTTACACTACACAAAATTTTTGTCCATTCTGACAGTCACTGTGTCAGATTGGGCGATACTGGAGTCATGAAATCGTTCTGTGACTTGGCCAACAGATGTGACACACTACACGATGGTCCATGACCAATCATCCCCGGTCGTCTTTCATGTTGTGCATGATGTCATCAGGTTATTCTTGTCCTATTTTTGTTATTATTACTATTATTTCAGTCACTGTGTCTGTTCATGTGCCAGCTGAAATGTTATTGTAGTAACATAAAAAGTGCCAGCAGATGGCAGGAGCTACATTTGAAGTACCGCATGCAAACTATGAAAATCACTGAATCCTCCACAAGAAGTTCCTGCAAATGTTTCACAAGAAAAACCTGTTAAGATAATAAAGGGATTCTCTCTACCTAAATTATATAGGGCTTTTAACTGCACAGATGAAGGAAGTGTTGAGTTTGACTTCACTTGGTTCTGACCCCTGGTCTCCTATGGGAAAGGGGGAGAGTTCTGTGTTTTGAGACCCACCCACTGCCCAGACTGATTCCTTATTGGGATCTCTTCCTTGTTTTTTCCTGTAAGTGCATAAGTCATGTATTTGTAGCCTTCCAAAATATATGGGTTATGCACAAATTATTGCCTCATGATTATGTGAGATATGTACAAATTTTGGTGCATTAGTTTTCATAGGAAAATATACGCACAGGGCATGAGAACAGCCTAATCTAGAATGATAAATTGCACTATACGGGCAAGAGTAAAAATGTGTATCTTTGATTTGGGGGTTAACTGTCCCTTTAAGTGACACTCTGTTGATACAGCTTATTTTGAATCGGGAAGACTCTGACTAGTCTAAAACACACCAAAGTCCTTTATCCTTTTAAAAATGTTGTTCTGAAACATTCTAAAATAAGTTATATGTGTTTTTAAAATATGATAAATACATACATGCCTTTTACACCATAGGACATCACATATACTCATGCATGCACATCTTTCTTTGCTTAAAGCAACACTGCCCTCTGCTGCTTTGCAGAGATACAGTACAAAGAAAACTGTAATTTGTCAGTCACTTGCTTTTTTTGTTTCATCATTTGCTTCTTGAGGCTCAAGTCGATGCCAAAATTTGAACGCTGCATAACAAAGTCTCCAAACTGAGCTATACAGTTATTTACATGGGTTATTGCACTTTGGAATATCAAACAGTTTGGCATACAGTCCTTTGCAATAGTTTATATGATATCTGTTGATATATACGTCACTTTCCACATATATATTTTACTGGCAAACACACTCACAAAATCCTCCCAGTAGGCATGTTGGGACACGACTAGAACTGGGGTCCCTGAGGGCCTCAACACTGCTTACTCACTGACTTCCGAGGACCTTTCTCAGTGAAGAGACCTGCTGAGGAGAAATCACCCTCCACAAACTGCAGGAAAATATCTAAGAGACTACAAACTTAAAGAGTGAAGAAATGGAGTTCGGGGCTTTGTTTCTGCTGTCCCTCATGGGACTCCTGTTTGTGGAGCCAGGGTTTGGACAGCGAGGTGACGTGGATGTTGCTAAGTGGATGACTGATAAAGTGGAATTAATGAAGAACTTGGAGGACAAACTTAGACATGTAGAGAGACGGCAGAATAACATTGAAGCTTTGGAGGCCAGGCTCAATGCGACTGTAGACAAGCTGATGAGACAGAACGCTGAAGTGGATCAACTGAAGAAAGAGAATGAAGGTACAAGATTCATGATGAGGAATTAGAACTGCACATATTCCACCAAATTTTGTGTAGTACCTTTGTAAACTGTCATTCATTGTTATTTTTTTAAACTTGTACAGGCCTGAAAATGAGACTGAATGCCACGGAGGAAGAGATTGATAAGCTGAAACAGAATATTCCTAAAGGTAAGATGATCAGACTTTAAGTACTTAAGTTTGTATTTGCAGAGTTCAAAATTTACAGCAAAATATAATGCGATGTTGTGAGAAATTATTCTGAATATTGTCATTGATTTACATCTCTCATGTTTATATTTACAGTCTCTCCATGTAACTCTCCACAGGTGCTCCTCAGATTGCATTCTCGGCCTCTTTGGCAAACTTCGGGGAGATTTACAGAGGACCCTGCACAGACAAGGCCCTCATTTTCAAAAGGGTCTTCTCAAACTCTGGCAATGGTTATGACCAAAACACAGGTACTTTGCAGTTTTGGATTGTGTGTGAGCTTGAAGATAATCAGCTTTTATTTTGAACAAATTTTTAAGGGTATGCCTTAGAAATACTGCTTGGTCAGAATCAGAATTATTTTAAAGCAGATTGTTTTTAAGATAAAATAACTGTTTTTCTCTGGATAAAGCCTGCTTGTAGACACTAAATGTCCTTAGGCTGTAAAACTCTCATCTGCTCCTGGTATTTCAGACAAGAGCAAACAAAGGGAAGAATTTGCTGATACTGTTTGGCTCAGTTCTCCAGCTTTTTCTTGTGCATGTTTTTCTTTTATATTAACAACTGATTACAAGTGTAATGGGAAATGGTTCGTTCTTAGAGATGGAGTGTGTAGGATTGAGGGGCAGAAATGGTCTATAATATCCTCCTGAGACCCACTACATTTTGAGTTTACTTGAACTTATACTTAATTCTATTTAACTTAGACCTGTTGTCCTCGTTCACGGACACTTTTTTTGTGCCATCTAGTGGTAGTAAGAGCAAAATACACTAATCCATGTAAAAACAAGATGGCAGCCATCTCTGCCAATTCAGTCTGGCTACAAACTTGACCAATTTTGGCAACAGTAACCCTAAGAGACTAATAATTAGGAAATACTCATTTGAGGACATTGGGACTTATTGTCATCTCATTTGAGGACATTGGGACTTAATTATCGTTGACAACATTATTTTTTTTATACTTATCGGGTACTACTGATCTCAAATAGCCAGTAGAATTTTAAAATTCATACCAAAGAAAAGTTATGGTCTCAGGAGGATATTTATAACTATATTTTTATTACACTATATTCACTTGAAAATAAGAGTTATTGTGGTTTTGTTACCTTAGAATGAGTCGTTTATATCGATATACAGGGCGGGTTCTCTGCCATGTTGTTCTACAGTAGTCCAGAACGGCTGACTAGAGTGAACAGTGCAGAACACTTGGGCGACAGACGCTCACAGATGGCCTGATGCAAGCCAGCCATTGGCTTTATGTGTCAGGGCCCTCAGTGATGGACGTAATTTTATTAGTAATAAAATCTCTATCACTTGGGCCATTTATTGTCTCCACCCAGAAAGGTTTCTCTCTAGAGTAGCACTGCCTCTGTGAACATTTAGAGAAATAACACTCAAATGTAAAAAAAAACAAACCTGGCAGCAATTTGTTCAAATGGGTGAATATAACTCTTCATGTCGTAAAATTACTTGTGGTGTACCCCAGGGGTCAGTATTGGGACCAGTATTGTTTCTACAATACATTAATGAAGTAGAGTATTAATATTATGTAGTATTAATGACATTGTAGAGCTCCAAAAACATTCAAATTTGTTCTGTTTGCGGATGATACCAATATTTTATGCTTTGGAGAGGATTTAAAGCTGCTTTTGATGGAGATCACAACAGAAATTAATTAATTGAAAAGATGGTTTGACAAAAACAAACTGTCTAAGTTTGACAAAAAACAAAATGATGTTATTTGTAAATCAAAATAATTGATATGCAAGGGCAAATTAAGATAGATGATGTTAATATAGAAAAGGTGTGTGAAAATAAATTTCTGGGAGTGATAGTGGATCACAAAGTCAGCCGGAAACCTCAAATACGTCACAGTTAATCAAAGTTGGCAAGGAGCATTGCAGTTATGGGAAAATCAAGACACATACTGCACCATAAATCACTATTTATCACTCACTCACTCATTTTACCGTATTTTAATTACAGTGTGAAGGCCTGGGGTAACACCTATAAAAGCAATTACACATATTACAAAAAAAGCCATTAGGATTGTATGTAATGTTGGATATAATAGGAGCAAACAAAAACACTGTTTTTAAAGTCAAATATATTTAAATTTGAGTACAAATAATGTACAAAGCAAGAAATAATCTACTTCCAGGCAATATTTTAAAACTGTTTTGTGACTGGGAGGGGGGATATAATTTAAGAGGAAAATTAAATCTAAAAATTACATTGTCTTCGTACAACTCTGAAAAGTATGCGTGATTCAGTGTGTGGGGTGGATTTATGGAATGGGTTAGATGAGGAGTTAAAGGGAAGCACGACTATAAAAGATGTATAGACAGTTTTTTTTTGAGGAGGTACGCAGACAAAGAGGGGTGATGGGTTGGTTTATTTATTCATCCAGGCTTGGTTGAGATGGGGTTTGTATATTTAATATCTAAGACAGTTGTTTATTCATCTATATTAATGGTTGTAAATAAGTTTGGGATAGGACAATTTCCTTTTGTAAATGAGACATGAATACTGAGAAGGGGGTAAGATTATATAAGTGATTATATAAGTGTGCACTTCTTCCTTCTCCTTTTCGAGCATGTCTGTTGATGTTTGTTTTGATTTTACATTTTGTTGTGCTCGAAATAAAGTCATTAATTAATTCATTCATGTACATGCTCTGTTGCAGGAATCTTCACAGCACCAGTGAACGGTCTCTACTTCTTCAGCTTCAGTACCTATGGCTACAACACTCACGACATGGGGGCCATTTTAATGAAAAATGGTGATCGGCAAATTTCAACCTATGATAAACCCTCAGCTGACGGCTCAGACAGTAGTAGTAATGCTGTCGTTCTGCAGTTGTTCGCGGGTGATAAGGTGTATATGGAACTGTGGGATAACGGCAGAGTGTTTGACAACCTGAACGGACACACAACCTTCAGTGGTTTTCTTGTCTTCCCTGTGTAAATGATTAGAAACTATGTGTTGCATTGTGTTTTTAAACTGAAGAGAGATGCAGGTCCAGCAGTCGTGACATCTGTGATATCACTGTCTTTATATAGTGGCATTGCCCCAAAGCATATGCTGACAAGAAAATTACACAGTATCCTGGTTGATTTTTATCAAACTTTTATCAAAAAATCTCCACACGTTTTTCATTTTCAAGTAAATTTCAATGACAATGTGGGTGCATGAACTTTCTTCAGAACAATAAACCCAAGATAAACTTCTTACATGGTCTTACTTCCTGTTTCAGGTGACTAAACACAGCTTTCTGTACCCTCTGCAGCGACAAAAGTGTTCACCATCCTCACACTAAAATTTTGACAACAAGGGGGAGTAGCTGCATCTTGTGTTCACAGTTTATTACTGCAGTTAGTCATCCCAAGACTAACTAAAACATGAACAATTTCATTACAGCACCTTTTGGACACCAAAAATAGATAGCCTACCTTTTGCATGCCTTAAAAAAATACTTCACCCACAAACTGACCATTTGTATATCAGTTACTAAATCTGTGTTACCTTGAATTCAACTTTCTTCTTCTTGCATTCCTCCACTGTGAACGGAGAAAAGGTGAACATTCTTCACGAAGTAAGCGAGGGTCACGCTTAACAACAGAAGAACCTTTTTAAAAAAATGATTTAACAAACTTTCACACAACTTGTGCAGTATAATCCAAGTCTCATTTATGCAGTCGAAAGCTCTGGACTTCTCAAACACATGCATTTGCATAAAACATTACAATTTAAACACAATTGTACAAATGGTCTCAGAAGAAGGTTTGTAGTTTTTCTGTTGTTAAACATGGTCCCAAATGACTCCAGTTCATGAAGAATGTTCACCTTTTTTAAATTCTTCATTCATTAGAGGCATATGAGAAAAACAATGTTTTCTCAACTAATTCAAGGTAAAGCGGCAAGTTACTCCTGGACTCCTGCTCCTGGAGGGAAGATGTGTGTGTTTTAATTAAATTAAAATCTTGTGATTATCATCATTTACTCAGACATTTCCCAAGACTGGTCGGATGCTTCAACTTAATGTGTTTCAAATTCGTTGCCACTGTGGCTAATGTTCAGACTTGTTTTTTTAGACGCAGTGGGCATGATTTGCAAATAAATTAGAGATTTTTTTCTGTTGGTAGCTGCTTTGTCTGAAGTGCCATTAGCACTAGGAATGCCAATGTTCTGTCACAATGCTGGTTGCTGTTAGTACTCGAGTTCTGTAAACAAAGCATTGTTAACCGTTGCAAGAGTGAACAACGCTCACGTTCAAGTTCATAAGTTGCAAACTGTTAAATTCAGTTTACTGTTTACCAGTGGTGTAGTGGCAGTTAATGAGGTGAGTCTACGTCTAGATGGGTAGACTATCAAGGATGAAATGAATGAACTCTCCTATATAATCCAGTGGCTTTTTGGCTGGGAGGTGGGTATACTGTAAACCCCATGTGCCTGCATATACCCTCCACTACACCATTGCTGTTTACGTAAATTATTTTAGCACATTCATGCACAACACTTCCAATGTCTTACAATCAGAAATGTGATGGCGAACACGGCAGAGATGCTCGCGTGTCTTATAATCAGAAATGTGATGGCAAACACAGCGGAGATGCTCACGTCTTATAATCCGAATTGTGATGGCAAACACAGCAGAGATTCTCGCGTGTCTTATAATTGGAATTGTGATGGCCAAGACAGCAGAGATGCTTGCGTGTCTTATAATTGAAATTGTTATGGTAAACACAGCAGAGATGCTCGCATGTCTTACAATCGGAAATGTGATGGCAAACACGGCAGAGATGCTTGCGTGTCTTATAATCAGTAATGTGATGGCAAACACAGCAGAGATGCTCAGCGTCTTATGATTGGTAATGTGATGGCAAACACAACAGAGATGCTCGCATGTCTTTTAATCCAAATTGTGATGGCAAACACAGCAGAGTTGCTCGCATGTCTTGTCATCGGAAATGTGATGACCAACACAGCAGAGATGCTCGCATGTCTTATAATTGGAATTGTGATGGCAAACACACCAGAGATGCTCACGTGTCTTATAATCTGAAATGTGATGGCAAATGCAGCAGAGATGCTCGTATGTCATTGTTCGGCCCCGGCATCTTGCCCATGTTCTCCCATTTCTGTGTGGTGGGATCATAACGATGGACCAGCTTAGTGTCACTGTAGTCCTCCTGGCTGTATCCACCCAGCACATAAAACTTTCCTTCCAAAACCACACTTCCTGCTCCTACATGTGGCACTGGCAGAGATGTGAAGGCCGTCCAGGAGTCGGCCACTGGATTGTACACCTCACAAGCCAGCTGGTCAACAACATTTATGTCAACACCAGTGGTGATTCCCCCTGCTACATAAAGACATCCACTCAGGGTCTCCATGCAGTGTCGAGCTCGAGGTTTAGCCATGTTTGCCAGATAAGTGCTTCCTGTTTCTGGGTGGTACAGAAACATGGATGCAAGATGTTGGTTGTTGTTGCTCAGCCCTCCTGAGACAAAGATCTGCCCTTGTAAAACCTTTGCTACATGGGCGGCTAGAGGCAGATCCAAAGGCCACATGAAGCTGAAAGAGAAGACACATTTTTAAATATCTTAAGGTGAGATGATTGACTATTTATCACAAATAAGTGAATTAGGTTATAATAGCCGGGCTATGAACCGAAAACAGTATGACTGGACATTACTATCTAGCTGGTAACCAAAAAGCTGGTGAATGAGCCTGTGAATCAGCTAATGCAAGTTCTACCTCAACTAACGCTACGCTCCATAAAGCTGTAGTGTTGGAAATTTCCCAAAATGCTTTACATATATTTTGGAGAGCAATATCTTGGATCTGTTTTGACAACTAAAATATCAGGGCTAGAAAAAGCTGTTCTCGTTCCAAAGTCATCAGAAATCGCCGCTTTGTCAGTCACCTTTCACGTATGTATATCACACGCTAGATATCTTTCTACATCAGTTGTTTATCTGGGAAGCCGCAACCAACACCAAGACATCAACAAAAGTACACGGTTATGTTTAGGAAAAATCCTCATGGTTTGCCTCTACATTAATTCAGGCCTATTATACCGCTGTGAAAGGTGGTCTTTTGCATTGGTGTCTGACGTCAAACTCACTGACAAATAGGCAGTATTTGACAACTTTGGAATGAAAGTGGGCTGGCTGGAGCCTCTGAATCAGATTGCCATAGCTCCAAATGCCTGCATTCCCCATGGTACTCCTCAGCTGTATGTGACTGTATTACTAATAAGGTTGGTTTGAGGGCATAGTGAAACACTCGTGAAATTAACATTGGTAAATATTCACCTCCCATTTACTTCCATTCCATTTAAGTGAAGGAGCTAATAAAACACGCGCTTCTGTTGGCAAAGTAAAGACACATCTCTGTATTGCATGATGTTCAACTTTGGTGAACTTGGACCAGTTAAGTTACAGCCTCAACCAACAGCAAAAAAGTATGTGTGAAGGAGACATTGATTGTTGCCCTGTCTAACCATATTGCACCACATGAGAGATGCTGCCTGGCTGGCAGTGAGTTGGGAGACAGGAACGTAAGAAAATGGAAAATGCACCAATAGCATCATATTTTGCAATATTTATTAGCAAGCCAACTAACAAGCTCACTCTCTATATGTGTCACATCTGGCATCATCCACATTCAGTGCGAATACTGCTTCAGTAGGCAGTAGTCACACACCTGCATTCGCTCATATGGGACTGTACTGTAGCCACCCTTTGAACAAAATTATCTTGCGGTTCACATTTCGAGTTCTTGAATTTTGCTGTCCTTACATCACTAGGACACACTCAACCTATTCCAACCTCCACCAGCCTAGAACCACCAGCTAGCCTTTACTAATTTCTAGCTAGAACTTAGTAGTTGTCCTCAGTCTTCCCCTGCCAAAATCTTCTTGACTTCTGTTGTCATGTAATAGCAGTATTACAGATCCCTTCTGTTTTGCAATATAAGATTTCTCAACAAAATTCAGCAGACTCAATTTCACTGTTTCTGATTTAATGTTTACGTAATGTGATGTTTTTAGCAAGCAAATCACTGCCTACAAAGCATAGAGATGTTAGCAAGTCACATCTACTTAATATGGTACAAGCTACCATGTTGCTTGGTAGATCAATTTTAGGGAAATTTTATCCAGACTATACCCTTGATGGGTGTAGAAGTTTGTTTTGATGAACAAATAACACTTCCAACGTACCTCCAAGAGTTTTCAGTGGGGCAGTATCGTTCCACACTCTCTCTATACTCGGGGTCACAATATCCACCGATGGCATATATGTTTCCATCCAGCACAACCACGGAGAAAGAACCTCTCTTCTCCTGCATGTTAGCCAAACTCTCCCAGCTATTTTGAAGGGGATCATACCTAGGGATGTGGTCAAATGAGCAAAGATCAGTATACAGGCATTTAAATTTCTTTAAAACTGTAAGTCATTACCTCTCTCACCTATAAACAGAATTCAAGGTGTCGTGGATGCCATAATACTTCTTGCCTCCAATCACATATAGTTGTCCGTTGAGGACAGCCACCTCATGATTGAACCTCTCTGCCTCTGGCATATCTCCCAACTTCCTCCACTCCATGGCCTTTTTCACCCCTCCATGGTTCCTTAGGGAATTCCCAAACCAGAGTTCTCTGCTGATGCTGCGCTTACACAGGTCTTCAGAGATCTGTTCACCTCCAATCAAGACCAGACTCTCTTTTGGCAGATAAATCCGGCACTGAGTCTTACTGGAACAGAAATCCTTAAAAACTGCTTGATAGAGCTCTGCCAGACTATGATCAGACCACATGGGTAAAGATTGAACCTCTTTGAATTCCTTGAACGTCATAATCGGAAAGTGGATGGTTTTCATTAGGTCTTTAGCAAGATTCATCCTTACTTGGGGCCTTGCTTGGATCCATGTCACCACTGCTTTGAACACAACAAGCTCAGATGGAACACAGAGTGAGTGACTGTTCAGGTACTTTAGGAGCTGTTTGGCTGGCAGGTCTTTGAACTTTGGGATGCATGCAACCTTTTGGAATTGCCTCAGGACAAAATCATCTGCAATTTCAAGAAGCTGCTCCATCTCGTAGGCCTCAGCAAAAGATGCAACATCCAGGCAGGAGTGAGGATTTATTTCTTGATGCAGGAAGTCAAGGCACAAGGAGAGGGCAGGTTGGTACTGGAGCTGAAGAGTGGTGCTGGTGAGCTCGAAGACATACTTCCAGCTGAGGGGGAGAGCCCCGCTGTAGGAGCACTCAATCAGAACCTCCAGCTCTGAAGCCAAAAGGAAGGGAAGGGTCACGCAGGACTGATTGGACTCTTTCATCCCCAAGGTGAACATGCCACGGAAGTAGTCACTGCACACTGCCAGAATGACTCTGTGGACTAAAAGGAGGAAAGTACAGTATAAACCAGATGTAAGAACAAGTGGTTGTTTTGCAAGTCACAAGTAATTCTTAAGTCTTTGCATGCAACTCCCAGTTCAAGTCCCCAGTTAAGACAGGCAAGTCCCCAGTCCTGAATTTTGAGTTTTGAGTCCTAAACAAGTCATAATGAGGTCTTCATTAAATCTAATGCCCATTTTCAAAAATCATGAATGCTTTTAAAAACAGGTGTCACAGAACTTAATCATAAATTGGTTTGAGGGAAGGTATCAAGTATTTTGAAGTCAAAAGGCTTAAGTCCAAGTGAAGTCGCGTATCATTGGTGTTAAAGTCCAAGTTGAGTTGCAAGGCTTTTTTGATTTTGTCGAGTCCAGACTGAAGTCATCAAATTTTTGACTTGAGTCTGACTCAAGTCCATGTCATGTGACATGAGTCCACCTCTGGTATAAACCCACTGTAATCCTAACTAACATGAACAGGACTCCATGGGATTCTATTTGTTTGAGTTAAGTATATCATGAAAGATGTTTCTGGTAGACATCATTAATAAGATTACTATTGGAACTCTTCAAAACAAAAAAAAAACTTCTTTTTTTTAATCAGATTTGGTGAAAGTTTGCAGGAAGAACAAAAATCAGAACAACAGAATTTTGCTCGTACAACTCAATTTGAGAGTTTGAGAGATTACCACATAATGGCATTATCTCCACCAAAACCAAAGGCTAAGACTTATGGCCATATGTTCCATATTTGTGAGAAGTCTTTTTGGGGTTTATGAAATATCACGCCAGATCAGAAAACATAGCCTTGGCAGAAGTAAGAAATCCTGTAATGTGACCCAAGATGCTAGAGCTATAAATGAATATTCCTCAAAAGTAGCTTGCTCTTGACAGGGACAGGGAGGCATTTACAGCAGTTTTAAGTTTAATTTAGAAACCCTATCACTTGACAGGACTATCAGTTGGCAACCAGCAAATGAAGGATCGTGGCCTCTAAAGCAGCTGCTATTATACTTCTGCATAAATGTACAACTCATTGGTGGTCTACTCACCATGAAGCGATCCTCCGAGAGCTTCCAGAATGACATCACAGCCCACTCTGTCCGCCCACAGCTGTTTGATTGACTGAAGACTTATCGTCATTTGATCTGCAGCCGAGATCCTTTCCTCTTTCTTCTGCCCTCCAGTTTTTTCGGGCACCTCCTCTTCCTCCTCGCAGAGATCCAGCACCCTGGGGGCGCCCAACATTTGAGCCGCTGCCTTTATCTGGTGCAAAGTGTTCATGTTCAAACATGGTATGTGTCCAGTGTAGGCAAAATCCACAACTGCCTTTAATCCAACATGATCCACCTCTGGACCGAGAGACACTGACCACCAGTGGACTCCAGAACTTGTATCTTTCCTTTCATCAACTCTATCCTTGCATCTGTGTTTATTGCTTGGAATAATGCTTTCTCGGATGTGGGAGCTGACAGCAGCCAGGACAGGGGAGTGTACATGGAAACTCCTCCCATCCTCCGTTGTCAAAGTAAGGTCAGTGAGAAGGGAGGAGTCCCTGAACTCTGTCAAGGTGCGGAATACATCCCTGCAATAATCTTCCTTGCAGTAGATCTTAACCAAATTGTTCTCACCTGCTTCTTCGTCTGTTGAATGTTCTGCATCCTCCTCATCTGTAGACTCTTCCTCTTCCTGTTGAAGCTTTTCGTGATCAACATGAAGCTCTTCTTCTTGAGTTGCCAGAGATTTAGTTTCTTTCTCATCTGTCAACTTCTGGCTTTCATCTTCAACTTTTTTTTCCTCAGAAGTCAATGCTTCCAGGATGCTGTTTTCATTTCTGCATGACTTATCATCAGTATCTTCCAGTTCCTCAAGATATTGTTTTTCAGCAGCTCTCTCTTCATTATTCATTCTGTCAAAGATGTAGAATTCATCCTCCGATCCCGTCAAGTCAGAGTCTTCATAATCGGATTCCACTGAATCAGACACGTTTCCGGTTTCATTGACTGTATTTGGTTCTCGGCTTGCACCTTCTTGGTTTTGCCAAATGTTTTCATCCTCAGTTCTTCTCATATGTGCTCTGAATGGTTCTGCAAGGTGATATTGTCCAGTTTGCTCCTGTTCCTGATGCTCCTCTTCCCCGTCATCTTCCTCCTCGACCTGCTCTCCTCCCCTCACCTGCCTTTCCGAAACCACTTCATCCTCTACCTCATCTTCTCCTTCTTCCTCTCCTCCTTCAAGTTCCTCAGCTTCCTCCCTCTCCCTATGAAACTCCTTTTCTTTATCCTCCTCCTCTTCCTCGATTTCTTCTGCTCCTGTCACATCCTGTTCCTCCACTTTCTCCACCTCCCCATTCTCTATGACCTCCCTTTCCACCACACTCTCCTCTTCCCCCAGATCCTCTGATTCCTCCCTCACCACACCATTTTCTTCTTCTTTCTCTTCTTCCTCCACGTCTACCCTTTCATCTGCTTCAATCACCTCCCTGTCATCCTCATCATCTTCTTTAACCCCCTTCTCTATCTCATTTTCTTCCTCTTTTTCTTCTTCCTCCACATCTACCCTTCCACCTGCTTCTGTCACCTCCATGTTGCCCACCCCATCTTCCCTAACCCCCCCACCTACGTCATTTTCTCCCCCATCCTCCATCTCCTCTGCTCCCCTCATCACTATCCCTTCTTCTTCCTTTTCCTCACCTTGGCTCACTTTTTCTTCCTCACTGCTTGTGCCCTCTGCTTCCTCTTCCTCCATATCATCCTCCTCATCTTCCTCCTCAATGCACACATGCACTTTAGCCCAAAGACTCACCCTCACCCTCGCCCTCACCCTCTCCCTCCATCTCCTCCTCCTCTTCTCCAGCATCTGTGTCTTCCACTCATCCCAGCCCGGGAGGCACAGGTTAGCTACTCCTGCCATACTGTCCAATGTCACTCTAATGTGTCCTAATCCCTTTAATGCCTCAAAACATTTGCACCCCTCGGAGCCAAAAGATTGCAGATCACTTACTTTTTGCACGGGTAATGAGGAAGAATGCACAAAGAAAATGATGTATGTCCAGAGGTAATCCACACTTGGATGCTGCTGTTATTGTTGCAAGCCACTTCACCTCTTTACCCCTCTGCAGACACCAGCTGTGTTGTCTGTTTGTTTGGCTCCTGCCTCTCGCTCCTCCTGCATGTGTTGCATGTGTGAGAGTGGTATGTAACCCACGAATCCTCTTATAACCTAAGAAGTTTCTATATTCAGTACTCTATCACGAGGTAAAAGAAAATTCTAGACTTTTGGGATGTCAGCCTGAGACCTAACAAAATTTTCTAACAGATTGATATACTAAATCTATCATATTGTAAAGTGTCAGACTTTTTTTTATTTCACTACATAGTTTTGTTCCTGTGTTTGTTTCCTCAATTTGTCCTTTTTAAAACCATTTATCATCATTTATCACAGAATAGTTACAGGCCATGCAGTTTATCTTGTGGTATTTTTCTATTCATTTCACTTTACAGTCTATCTCTCTAGTAATCAGTTCTTAACTGTATTCTTAAAAATACTTCTCCCAAGCAAGCAATAAAAAGGGAATGATCTAGAGCCAGAGGCAGCTGGATTTGTGTCCAAGAAAACTCGGGGGGCTTGGCATCTTTAATTCTGGACCATATGACCGTGAGATCAGTATTAAATGCCTTAGGGGGCATCAGTGGTATCACATTGCTCCTCCACGTCCAAACACAGTGGAATCTGGGTCAAGGATCAAGACATATGTGGAGAAGGAGGACACCAAAACAAAACAATGGCATTTACACCTGTCGCTTTTGTGTTGACAGCGAAAGCTGGCAGCTGTCACCTTGACTTGAAATGTAGTTATGCAGGTCATACGTACAGTAGCTGCCAGTGGATCCTCAAAAATATACTCTCTCCTTGTACTGTACCACTTTGCTAGAATGTCTTTGAGTTCATCAGCTGTCTTTTTTTGTCAGTTGTTTATTGTTTATATTATATGGTGGAAATGCAGTGTTGCAGTCACGTATGTGGTACAATACAAGAAAATAATCTGACATTTCTCTGCTCCCTCATTGGAAGATTAGCATTTTATTGCCCGGGAACAGTCTACAGTCTACATGTCAAGTATCCTTGAGCAAGATACTGAATCCCAAATTGCTCCTGATGGCTGTTCCATCGGTGTGTGAGAGTGTGAAAAACTGAGTAGTAGGTGGCACCTTGCATAGTAGCCTCGGCCACCAGTGTACAAATGTGTGTGTGAATGGGTGAATGTGCAGGTCCATTTACCATAGTACTGGACTTGCAAATACTAGTAGCTTAGTTAAGTAAGGCTGATACTGACTAACAGTTATAATGTCATCGTAATTATTATCACCATCATTACTATTAATTGCAGCCCTGCAAGACAATGTACATGAATTTAGGACAAGCACAAACCAAAAACATGCTGAAATAGAAAGAAAAAAAAGAAATAATGAAAAATTAATAACACTTACCTTCTTTCCATTTCATTTGCTCCAATCCCACCAGTTTGCCAGCCAGGAATCCAATGAGCGTTACGGACATAAACCAGGAATTAAATACATATGCCAATTTCCTCCATCATCCATGATGATTTCCGCAGAAATATTCGTGAGGATACATAAAATACATATATATAGATACATGCAAACTCATCAAAGGAAATACAGAACACATAGTTTACATAAGATATATGTATAACACTCCAAGCAGGTAAGAAAGTAGCAAATAAACAGCACAGCTTAGAAACAAGAATAACCGCAGACAGTTATATCAAAGCATCAATCTTTTCCAGAGTCTCTGACCAACAAATGGTATTGTATGTCTAAGCATAATGTAGACATGCTGTAGAAAGCTCTAGCTGTGCAATATCTCTCACGCCATTCCCTCAGCGACGGCGTATGTGGAGATTTCCAGCGGCAAACTACCATCTTTTTAGCAGTGCCTGCCATTTATATTTAGCTGTAAAGAAGAATAGCAAGCGCTGTGAGTGAAGGATGGCTTTTCTATTGATATCAGACAAACTGCTTGAAATGTTTTTCCAAAAACTATTCTCTGGGCACTGCCAAATTATGTAAAAAAAAAAAAAAAAAAAAAAAAAAAAGGACCAGTTATATTGCCTGGGCAAAAGTCGCAGTATGGATTAGTTCTAAGTTTCATGTGTAATCTTCGATGTTAAAGAAAAGGATCAGTGAATAAGTTTATAATGAATCATTTGATGGTTTGGATACCTAGATACCTGACATTCAACCAGCATTGTCTCATCGCATTGTGTGCAGATGAACGTTGTTTCACTTCCCTCAGAGATCCCGGCCCGTCCAGTGGCAGAGGTCCAGCACAGCAGCACAGGGACAAAGCCAAACACCATTCATCTGCACACACTGCGATGCCACACAGCTGGTTCGATATGAGCAAAGTTTCCCTTTATATTCATTGTATTCTGTGGCGATCAGCAGTGATGTGGTGGTTCACTTTTACACTGTGATCTGTAGCCTATAGTTCGGCTTTAGCTTCTAACTATCTTTGTCTTTTAACCTGTTGTTGCTGCTGAGTCATTTTGACATCCTGGATATATCCTTCAAGCACAGACTGTAGCGAAAGGTCAGTTTCAATGTCAGGCTAGAACTAACAGAGTCAAATGCGTAAAATGCACAAAAAAATGCAAACCTTGGTTCTGACTTTAAGCTGTGGAAAAAACCCCAAGAAACAACTCTGAGATCTGTCACCAGGCTATGCTTGAAGTGGGCAGCTGTTTGCTCCAAAAAGTCAATGTTCCCCCGCTGAGGATCTTGTCTGCTTAACGTTGGTAAATGCTCCAAAATAAGAACCCTTTAATATCAGCACAGAATTTCTATTGAAATGCTTTGAAGTTGAAGCACTGTGAGTGGGTGAGCTGGAAATGAAACTGGTGGGCACACCTCGCTTTTAAATACACTCCTACCTGAGGACACAGTGACTCTGCTCTTTTCATAGCTGTTCACATGTGAGACACACATACATGCACTGTACTGTACACACACACTGAGAGGTTTAAACATGCAGACAAGTGACTCAGGTTTTTATTTAATCCTATGCTGAAAGAGAGGTTGAATGGATTTGAATAAATTAAGAGCTTAAGCTAAATCTTTCACATTTTGAGACATTCTGCAGTAAAGCATTAACATGCTGTGAAGTGCCACTTAACAAACTGATGAGATTTCCAGTAACAAAGTAAACATGTTTGTTTAACGCCACATTCACATCCTGAGTTTGTAACACACAGCAGATGTTCAGATTTTGCTGTATTCACGTTACCCGCAGTGAGTGTTTCGCTCTGGGCAGCAGCTCACAATCTACTTATGAAAAGTCTGTTTCCTCTGCAGTCCTGATTGTTACCATGACGACGCACGCAGTGAGAGGAGGAGTGAAGAGCGCTAACCTCGTTATGGGACCCTCCCCCTCAGGCCCTTTCCTCAAGAGCAGCAAACACTGCTGGGACAAGAGGCCTAGACGCATTCCTCTTTATATCATTCTCCTCAATAGCAACAGAAGTAGACGAAGAACTGTCTTCACATTTTTTAAAGCTGTAGGAACAGTTTTATTCTGAAATGAAAGCAACAGTACGAAATGGTTTCACATTTTGGGAAATATGCTTATTCACTTTTTTGCCCAGTGGCGCCCCCAAGGTGGGGCCGTGGCCACCCTGACAAAATCCCCCTCCATCAGGGCAGAAATAATTGGATGTTGACATTATTGTGTTTAAGAAGCTGAGGCACATTCATTTTTTTAATCAGCACACTCCCAGAAACGCCTGCAGGTCCTCCTTTACCAGTTCAGTCACGCATATCAGAACTTCAACCTAACCATTAGCTTGAAGAAAACCAAGACCATGGGACAGGGCACTGAACCCCCCCCCGCCCCCCCTTCCATCACCATTAACAGTTACACACTGGAAGCTGTGAGCAGCTTTATCTACCTTGGGTCTACCATTACCAACAACCTGTCACTTGACACAGAAGTCAGCAGCCAAATCGGAAAAGCAGCCTCTACTTTTGGGAAACTTACATCTAGAGTATGGCACCAAGAGCGGAGGTTAAATTCTTTCCATCTGCACTGCCTGAGACACATACTGGGCATCACCTGGCAGGACAGGATCACAGATACAGCTGTCCTAGAGAGGGCACAGCTCCCAACCATGCTCTCTCATTCTGAGGCAAAGGCGTCTTCGCTGGCTGGGTCATGTCCGCCGGATGCATGATGGTTGCATGCCAAAAGACATACTGTACGCAGAGCTAACATCTGGCAAAAGGCCAATTGGCTGTCCTCTGCTTCGGTATAAGGATGTCTGCAAAAAGGACCTCAAATCCTTCAACATCAATCCTGCCACCTGGGAAGATGCCGCTACAGACCGTCGTCTATGGTATCAGGCACTCCGCACTGGACTGCAGACCCATGAAACAACCTTGTCTCAACAACAAGAAACAAAAAGAAAGTTGAGAAAGCAGCAAGTCACTATCACGTCCTCAACATCACAGAATCCGGCCTACACTCGTGACATCTGTAGCCGGGTCTGCCACTCTCGAATTGGCCTTCACAGCCACAGAAGACGCTGTGTCCAAACCTAACTCCCAGGCACAAGAAATCTATGGTCTTACGACACCGCGATGCCGATGAGGTAGTGGTATCTTGTGAAACTAGACAACCTAAGGCATCCATTGGTACCAACTGGTACATATGCTATGTCGGCAAAGCTTGTCGGAGAGGGGGCTAAATAACGCTTCAAAGTTCGGCAAACTTTTAGCGAGGGAACTGGCATGGCTATTTTCAAAGGGCTCCCTTCAACTCTCACTTGAAGATATCTGACTAAATATGGGCTCTGTGAGTACCCACAAACCCCCTTAGACTTGAGAAGGCCCCAGTAAATGTTGGAGCCAACATGGCTGTTTGTTTTTTGGAAAGACTTTTATATTTTGTGGTGACTAGTATGCCATGCCACAAGGGGACAGTTAACATGTTGGTGATGGGTCATGTCACACAATCAAGTGATAAATAGACACAGGTGTGTGGGCTCATTGTGTGTGGACCATGGGAGATGTAATGTTTCTTACCACAAAACGGCAGACTGTAGACTTACACTGTACAATTGGATTCAAATTTGCACAAGTACTAACCCAACT